CAGATTTCTTATGCCGTAACTACATTCTCAATGGATTGGATAACACCTTATATGGTATGTATTGTGACTACAAAATGGCTAAGGAATTATGGGAGTCTCTTGATAAAAAATACAAGACGGAAGACGCTGGAACTGTACCATGAAAATGTGATTTGAACTGTGGCTTTAAGATACTGTGAAAGGTTGCACCTGCTTCTGGTTTGAATTGCCTTGTAGGTTGTTGACAAAAGCATTTAAGCAGATTTATAGTGGTGACGTGTTCTACATATATACATTGTTTCTTCTATTTTTTGACATATTCTTGACTCTAGAGGGAGCTCTAAAGATGCTGTACTTTGAGAAAGAATATGCATAATGTTATCTTTTCAGTAAGTTAATAAAAATTGTGACAACAAATTTATTTTTAGTTAGAGTTGACAAATTTATCTATTAATATATGATCATAAATAAATTAATTTTTGAATTGTGCCTGCAAGCTTTGGAAAATACTTCTTTGCTATTTCTTAAACAGAAGATAAATGCAGTGTTGGAAAGTCAGCTGAGAAGCATGGAAAGTCCACCCCAACCCTTGTGAAATACTTGTTTTCTATTTCTTAAACAGAAGATAAATGAACTTCAAAAAGATCCTGGGGTAGCACATCAAGAGTATCCCTAATTCAAACTCATCATTGCAGAATAAGTGAAAATAATCAGATGGCTACAAGACACTGTTTCGTAATGGAAAGTGATTAAAAGTTAAGTTCTAATTAATTAAACCTGTCTCCCCTTTGCTTACTGGTTAGGTATCTCAGATATCATCAAATGTTTAGGCCATACACAAATAATCATGTTCTGTAAGGAGAATCGGTTGGGATGCGGAGAAATACGTTAAAATCTTATTTAGCCCATATTTGGTTAGGCTAAAAAATTGGATTAAAATCTAAGTCAAAATCAATTAACTACCCACTTTCCAAACTTTCAACGATCTATCAATTTTTATTAAAATTTACTAAAAATCTGATTTCCATCTAAACCAGATAAGGGCTTTTCCGCACGGCTTTGTTCGCTGCTGCATACCAAAACGTGCGTCTAATGCTCTAATTTTTGTCAGCGAGAAGATTAATGTATCTAAAAGAAAAACCTCTTCTATGAGGTGAAAAATCAAGAATTTTATTAGTTCATAGGGTACAAGTTGTGTTCATGAAGGAAAAGGAGAAATATATGTGTGTATATGCTATATATGATGAAATAAGAATTAAAAAAAGGCTGTATTGATTATTAACACAAATACAAACAGCATATATAGCTTCTTATTTCTCTTCATTTCTGTGTATCCCTTTCAATAATCCTAGCCTCTCTGGCCCAAACTATTTCTTTTCACCTGAAAAGGAAAGAAAAATATAACATTAATAAGGGAAAAGTTGCACATTCAGTTCTCAATAACATAATTTAAATAAAATCTTTTGTAAAATTATCACGTATCCATCACGAAAATAACCCTTTCAATTTCTCAGCATCAGTCCATGTTAAAAAGCGGAAACTAGCTTTATAAAATTCGATATGTTCACGTGACAATCTATTATTGAGGACTAATTGTGCTACCACTACAACAAATTTTGCTTTTACGGCATGCCATAAAAAGCTTTTTGCAATCTATTTTTTTGATCAACAAAGTCTATTTTTTCATTAAAAAAAAAAGAGGAAAAACGCACATATATTTTTCTATCAATCTATATGGCATGCTTGAGAATTACGCCGTAGATACTCATCTTTTACGGTGTGTTCCAAATGTATGACTTAAATACTTGGAGTAATTGAATTATTACTACAACACACATTTAAGGCATGCCGTAAATGGTACATTATGCAAATGCCGTGAAAAGCTAATATTGTTGTAGTGCATTATTATGCAATATTGGGATCTGTCTACTTAATAATGGAGCAATATGTCGAGGATTAGCGAAGGCGATTTTCTCGATTAATAAAGATGATTATAATGCCAATAATCATGAAATGGTCCTCTTACCTGATCTGCAACATCCATCTTAGCCTTATCTTTCTGATTCATAAACTGGTTCATATAAGAAATCTGCTGAAAGAAAAGAGAACAATTGTAAACAACAACTGGTCAATAAACTACATAAAAATTGATCAAAAGACCAAAAAATTATTAATCCATGCATGCAATTTTCTGACCTTTGGACTATTTACGGGAGAGCTGGCAGTGTCCACTAAATCTTCATCAACTTCTGGTACTTTAGGTTTCTTCTTCTTTAAGTTAGGATTACAATATTTAGAAGAAATTAAACCTGTAGAATTATTGGGAAATCTTTTGACTGCAGAAGAATCAGCATCTGAGATAAGAGAAGGGCTTTCATAATCAGAAGAAAAACAAGATTTTTCACCATTTTCACACATGAAATCTTGAATGTAGAATGTCCAACTACTCTCCTCAGGAGTATTATTATCTGATGCATCTTTCTTTGAATGACAAGAAATGGCAGAATTCTCCATATTGGAAGAGAGGAAAAAAATGTAGGGTTACCACTTTATCTGGCCAGTTTTGGAGAAGGGTTTGAAGATGGTATTATATATTGTGGAAGTCAGTGTAAAAAATAATGCATAATCTGGAATATTGGCCATAGAGAATTGAGGTAGGTGAATTGACCTACTGCAACAGAAAATAAAATGGAGAATTGGAAGCGTTTGACCTTTGTGGTATGGGATTAGAATATTACCAGCAGAGATTTGCCGAAATCTATTTTTTCTGTTATTCAAATCTTATTTGAACAAGTCTACAATAGATGGTTCGTGTGTTTTTGTTGAGGATAAAATTTAAAGAATATACAGTCTTTCTCAAGATTTTAGATGGGATGGTTACTATGTATTGGAGTCTGACTACCGTTCGATTATGCAAATCTTGCACTTGACTTACCTTTTATCAAGCAAAGTGCAGCTCTCACATGAAGCGCTCGTTGAAGAGAAATTTTAGATAAACATATGTGATCATTTTCTGAAAGTTTAATCTTTTAAATGAGATTGTTATCAGTTTGTCAAATTCTTTCTCTCAATTTCTTGAGAGAGAGATTTCCAAGAACAATACATACAACTTAGACAAACTAAATGAAATAAAAGAAATGGTGGAGAGGTTGTCTAGAGATTGATCTTTTAAATGAATATATATACATACGTCATTTTCTAACCGTTTAAACTTTTAAATGAGGTAGTTATCGCCTTTCAAATTCTTTTTCTTACTTTCTTGATAGAGAGATTTCGAAGAAAAAAATATGCATTTCTCAAGACAAATTAGGTTACATGATCAAAATGACTTAAAATAAGTTATTGTGTTGAATAATCTATCGTTTGACATCCGTTTTATTGAGTTTTCTGGGAAAATAAGTTTTGAAATAGTGGTTTTTTATGGAGAATATATGGTTAAAAATTAGGAAAATTTTTTGAATTTACATACAAAATATTTTATTACGTGAATGTTCAGTCGAAAATGAGTTTGAGAAAAAAAAAGAATTTTTATTTAATGGATATCAAACAGGGGTAAACCGGACATTATAACCGATAAATTTTATTGTATATACGTTTTCTTTAATATGTTCTAATTATCAAACATATCACAAATATTGATTAAATAAAGAAATTCTGATAATGGAATGGAATGATGTAATGATTCAGATAATCAAAGCATAATTAATAGCTTAAGAAACCGACTTATGGATATAAACAAGTATTGACAAAACAAAACAAAATTTAATTTTTATTCTGTTGACAATTTAGCTGACATTTTATTATATTATTTTTTGTTTATATATTCTCTTACATTCTAATAATTAATATTTATTTATTTATTTATCACATAATTTTATCGTTAAAGAGAGAATTTTAAAACTGTGACTATTGTTTAAAATAAAATTGAAAAGTCGAGTTATAATTTTTGAAACGAGAAACAATATATCGATAATAGTCATGTCACAAGAGAATAGAAGTCTATAGTTGACTCTAAAATTGGCAAGTTCAAATAGTCATGCTACCCATTTCAATTTCTTTGAAAACTGACATTAGAAGATTAGGATGTGTGCATCGACACATTGTTACAACATAAATGTTGGTGGTTTATATTTTTAACAACATGTGTGGTGTCTACTTATTTAACAATCAAATTACATCGTACCAATTATTAATATTCATATACTTTTTGTATTTACTCATATTTACTTACATTGTAATTACATAAAAAATTGGGGGCAAAGAAATTTAAAATTTGAAAATTGTATGTCCAGTACGCTATTGTTTTGTTACTCCGTGAATCCACGTGGCACAGAATGGACCCACATGAAGTGTAAGAAGGAAAATCATGAGCACTACTCCGATTCTTATGAAACAAATTGAGAATAAGCTATGCTGTTATCGCTCTTACATGCGAGGCTTTGGCACCATGTTGCCTTAAGCTTCATCCAAGCGAAGCCAAACCTTTGGGTCTGAACCCTCATAATCGAACCTTGACACTTAAGATAGTTGAACAACCGACGAGCTTAAAGCAATCTTAAGGCACTTAAGAAATGGGTGTTTCGAAGGGAAACATTCAAACAACTTGTTAGTCACATAGTAGTATAGGAGAAAACCCCACTTGGCACAAATAGTTGGGGGTGCATGCGGAACATGTGAGTTTGAGATGCTTGTGAAAGTAACAATCAACTCAATGGGTAACAGCTCCGTGTTTTAAAATTATCAAGATTTTTTATTTGTTATAGGTTCATTAATAGCAATATGACACTCGTCCAAGTAATGTTAAAAGACCAAAAATCTATAGGTCAGAGAAATGTACAAGGAAAGCAAGTATTAGAAATATTAGCCAAATTCTTGCTCACCATCTCGTAGAACTTTACTTGCACGTAGGTCACCACCAGAAAGAGCATCAGTGGCCGAAAAAAGGTTTAAAGAGGTTGTGAGGCGAGGAGGTAACCGAGGATTTGTTTTAGTCTCCATTTTTCTGAGGTCAACACGTTTATTGATCTCTAGTCGACCTTATCAAATGCATCGATGTATAGTCTAAATTAACATATATATTTTCACTTGTAAATAATTATGTGAGACAAATTAATTAGCCGGCAATTGACCTAATTAATTACTTAATAAAAGCTTAAACAAGAATGAACATGGAGGAAGTGACTCTTTATCAAGTCTGACGTGATGGATCTCAAAGATTCAACAGTTTTTTTAATTTCCATTTTTTTTTCCCCAGAATTTAGGTAAATTAATTATTGTAGTGTACTGTTCAAAGGTCTGCTCTTAATCGTGGACGGTTCTTTCTTATTAGAAAATTGGCACTTTCAGACTTCAATTATTAACAGACATGGGACTATGATTTTGTCGAGACATGAAGGAACCCGATCCCAATTCAAGGAAAAAGCTAGTAGTCTATATACCAAAATGATTCATTCATTTTGGAAAACACCGAGTAGGAGAGGTAGCGACATTTCTATCACACTACAGTATTTTGATGTGAGTTATTTCTGCCAGTTATTTTTATTGACTTCTTACCACTGCTAGAACGATTGTGTTCTTTTAATCTTTGGCTTTCTTCACACTCACATCAGTGCAGATTCTGGTGTCCCAATGACCTACAAATGAATGCTACGAGATTTTTATACATAATATATGATGTTCGAGGAATTTTTCAAAATTATGATCATACAATGGTATCAAAGTAAAAATTAATTTTAAGTTAAAATCGATCCCGTGATGTGTTAAAATCGATATTCATTCTCTTCTCGAATCAACCAAAGGCGAACATAGCGTAGGGTAGGGCTGGTTTGTGCACAGGGTGGTGCAATTGAAGGTTGGGAATAGGAGTAGATGTGTAAGACAGATCAAAGTAATTTTGAAATTTTAATTAGTACAAAAAAATTATTAGAAGTTTGTATGGTGAGGCTACTTTGGGGACAATACATAACTAAGATAACTAAGAGGTTTAGTTTTACCAATTTCAAATTTAAGAACTTAAGTTTAAAATTTAAAATTTCAGATATTTTTAATTTCTATTTATAAATTAATTAATTAAACATATATTTTATTAATTTAATATATTAAGGTCGCAGTTCCATATAATTTGGTCACAATTTCTATATAATTGGTCACATATTATTAATTTGTCACAAATCATAAATTTTACATGTTACAAATTATTTTACGGTTACCAATTAAAAATTTTATAGGTCACAATTTGTTAATCGATCACAAATAAAAAATTGAAACGTCACAAATTATTTTACGTTCATAATTTGTTCAACGGCCACAAATCAAAAATTTCATGAGTCAAATTATTTTACGGTCACAAATCAAAAAAATTATAGATCACAATTCAGAAATTTTATAAGTCACAATTTGTTCATCGGTCACAAATAAAAAAATTTATACGTCACAACTTATGCATCGGTCACAATTCACAAATATTATAAGTCACAACTTAGTAGACAATCACAAATTGTTAAATTGTCGATCACAAATTAACAATTTTTTAGGTCACACATTATTTCTTGGTCACAATTTATATTTTTCGTTGGTCACAAATTGTTTATCGGTAAAAAATTAATGAATTTAATGGTTACAAACGACCAAATAATCTGTGACCACCACCAAAAGTTGTGCCATCACCTCATCACTCCATCCAACAACACTATTTGCCACTGTCGCCGCCAGAACCACCACCACCATCGCCACCTCCCGACAAAACATACCACATATCCGATTCGCTTGCAGAACTACCACATCACCACACACATTGTCACTGATCCCATCCCATTATAGCCAGCTCCAACCACCACCACCACCTCAACCTTTACCTACAACTCCAACCAACCACAGCTTCACCATCATCGCCTGCACCAGCAGCCACCACCGCCTACAATAGTAACCACCACCAACACTTTCTAAAATCCACCATCTTTTCCACCTCTACGATACCACACCACAACCACTAACAAAAATCCCAAACTCGCCACCGCCATCTGCACTTTCAATACACTACAAATTAACCTCTAACTCAGATCACCAAAAAAAAAAATAATAATAATAATAAAAAGAACCGAAAAACTTAATAATTGCAACGGTTGTGAAGTTGCCATCAGGAACATAGATCCTACGGTAATTCTCATAAGCAGTCATATTACACTTAAGCCTCTTCGCAAGAGCAACGAAGAAATCCTTCATTAAAATGCATCCAAATGCAGGTCCATTAGCAATTGTCACGCAATCAGGCTGCACAATGAATGCCTTCTCTTTCTTAAGAAGGAGAGAATATCCAACTGAGTTGTAGTCGTTAAAGATTGGGCCAGGCATAGCCACAAGCATCTGCTAACGGATAGGGGAGAGAGAGCAGCGACAACACGTGCGGTGTGAGGAAGTCGTGATGCCGCGCGAGGCACCATTGCTTGAGCCGGAGCAGGCTTTATTTTACCTGTTGACTCAGAGCCGTTGGCAGGAGAGAGGGAGAGGGAGAGAGGGAGAAGGAAGATAAGGGTATTGATTTGGGATTTTAAGATTTTTAGAGTTTGGGTAGTATCAAAGATTCGAATTAAAGTCTGATTTTGGTATAAATAAACTTTGGATTTGATTTTTGAAATTGAATTTTTAAAATTCTAGTTTTGTGTAATTTCCTCTATATATATATATAATAGTAAGTAGGACAGTAAATGAGAAAAAAAAGTCATATACTCTCTTAAGCAGGGGCACGAGGCGATAAATCATGGCTAGCCTGCCAACTGTCACATTGTCATCCCTATGTTAAAAGACAAATATTCGAATCAAATTTTTCATTGAAATTGTGTCGAAAGATGTTGGTGAATAATGTTTAATTTTTGGACGGAACAGTGACGAATTTTAAATTTGTCGCTATGAGCAACAAAAGTAATCTTCATTGTTTGCATCTTCTTTTTTTAGTGAGAGTTACTGATGACATGTAATATAGCATGTACTAGTTTAAGGAATAGATATACATGATAGTATATATCTATGTCCAACTCAAGATATAACTACTAAAGTAAATTTGAATTTATGGTAACAAGAAGTCGAAATTTTTGGAAAAAGATAACCCAACTTTTTCAGTTTTTTTACTTTAATTTTGCAACTTAAGGGATTTTCCAAAAATCTAAGCTCGAAGTCGTTACTTATTCCTGTCAAGTGAAGTCTCCGTCGGTACCCTGCTTGTTATTGAAGGATGTTAGCAAAATTAGAAGAACTCGAGGCTCGGGTTGGTCATGTGAACTGATTCATTTAATTCTTAGCCTAGTCTTAGAGCGCCGATTGATCCTAGAAATGGCGACATCGGCACGAGGAGTTAATGAACAAATTTGTTATACATACAATTTTCTCCAACAAACTAAAAAAAGGAAAAGAAAAAAGAACTATGCTATTGCATATTCATGACCTTAAAGATCGCTACAATAGTTAAACAAAAATAAATCATATGATATTGTAATTGTTCAGAATTAAAGGCTGCACATAATTATGAAATTGAGAACGTAAGATCAGGCAGGTAGTTATCTAGGGTTCTAACTGAAAATACCTACACAGACGCCGTTTCGACCTCGCACTGCATCCACGCCTGCAACTTATTTTCCAAGTTCTGATCGTGTCTATAGTGACGCTGGATCAGTTTCAGAAATGCCCAGATGAGATCTTGAAAATCAAAGTTTGATAATTTTTCTTTTGGTGTTTAATTCTCACTTTTTAGGGTTCATGCATGTCTACGTGAACAGGTTTTATATGAAAAAAGCTCTAGGTTTTGAAAGCATGAAAATATCCCTGATTCAAGAATCTTCTTAAGATTGAAATTCATCCGATTTTTTTCATGGAAATTTTAAGAATCAATTAGGGGCCATTCTCTTTGTGTTTTGAGGTTTGAATTCATTTTGCGTTTTGTGTTTTGAATGTCCATTTTGAGATTGTTGAAAATATATTATTTTTGGCATTTTAAATATTTTTTTGAAAATATTTGTCGTTTTGGGTTTTCTTTGTAAATTTTTAACTTATTTTCAAAAACGCGTTTTCGAAAAAAGGAAAGAGGACGCGTTTTCACTGTTTTGAAAAATTGAAAACAGAAAACGGCTTCAAAATGGTAAAGAGAATGACCCTTGGTGTCTGTAGTTCTCAGTTCGAGGAAATTGGGTAATAAATTCTGTTGTCGATCAGCTTCTGTGACCAATTGATCTTGAATTAGTTAGTTTGTTAACGTATAACTTTTCTTTCTTTCATTTCTTTAAGATTAATTATCATTCTTTCTGCTGTTTTATGCAGTTCATAGTTCTTGACACCCTCGAATCTTCCGATTTCTCCTTAGAGAATGGACGATTTACTTAAAAATGGCAATGTAAGTACTATCCAACGTGCGAGTGATCTCCTTGTGTCGGTCTCAGTTTGTGCTGAGACACACAAGGCAAAAATAATACGTCAATCTTTGGCAGCAAGTGAAGAGCTAAAGCAAATGGCACAAGAACGAGAACCGTTATGGGTTTTTGATCTAGACAGGAGTCTCGAGGTTCTGAATTGCACCGAGTACAATCGAAGATTTGCATCGCTCGATCCAACTTTGGAGGAGATAATCAGAGTGATTACAATGGGAGGATGGCCTGCAGAGCTTCCAAACTTCAATGAAAATATAGAAATTATTCAAACTGAAAGTGGATGCACACAGCCCTGTGAATCTGAAGCATCTAGGGCAATTGGGGTTGTTTCCAGCAATCCAATTAGCGTTGTCAATATGTTCATGGATGTGGTGAGTTTTTTTTTCTCTTTTTTTCTGTATATAAAAGGATAGCATATGCTTTGCAAGATGGTCCCTCATTCGAGAACACTAACATTGGAATAAAATAGCTCGTTTAAGGTTTTAAGTGATGTGGGATTTTACCCTTAACAATGTATACATTTTTTTTTTTTTTTTAAGATCAGAATGAGTGGTCAAGAATTTTCTCCAATATAGTATCGAAGGCTCAAAATCTTGGAGTTATATTAAAAGGACAGCAGGAAAACCCTGATGGAGTTCTGCAAGTGGTATTCAAACTTTTGGATCAAAATTCCGAGATTGTGTTGCTAATATGATACACATATATTTGGTACGTTGGACAAGACATCAAGGAAGACAAAGGCCGTCATTTGATTAATTTAGCCTTGTGTCTAATCGAGCGTACCGAATATGTCTTACACGTATTTGTTTTCAATATGCTAAGATAAAACCATTTTCAGATGGTGGCAGAGTTTCATGTTCCTTCTCCACTTGTTCGGGGTCGGGAGATGTATTTTGCAAGGAGCTGTAGGCAGCTGGATTTCGACACTTGGATAGTAGCTGATGTTTCTTTGGAGAATATTTTTCCGAACCCAGCGGTAAAATGTCAAAGAAGGCCATCAGGCTGTCTAATTCAAACACTTCAAGAAGGATTATCCATGGTAATTAATGAAAATCCTTTTTAAATATTGACAAGCGACATAAACGAACTTTTTTTTTTCCCTCTTATCTTATGTTTGTGTTGATCCTAAACTCCTTAGGTTACTTGGGTGGAACACAATGCAGTATGTAATAATCTGGTTCATGATATGTTTATTAAACCCGTCTTTGCATTCGGCGCAAAGCGCTGGATTTCATCATTAGAGAGGCAATGCGACAGAAATGCAACATTATTAATGCACAACAAAGGTACCGATTTTCATCCTCTCTTCTCAAGAGTCCGTAAGTCCCTTATTTTGCTTCTTTTTCTCACTTTTTATTGCCTAAGTTAGCGCAGTTTTGTTTGTGTGTTTCCCTAGCCAGGACTCGGAGTATCTGGGATCAGTCTATTAAATTTGGCAGAAAGAATGGTTAGAAGCTTTAATGCCAATATTTGCTCAAACCAAGAAAATAAATGGAGACAATTACCTATAGAAGGTGCACAAGACATCCTAATCAAAACAAGCCTTAACGTTGATAATCCAGGGGTACCTCGCGGTGTCTCAGTAACAATTGCAACTTCGTTACATCTCCATGTTCGACAGAGAGATGTTTTCGACTTTCTTCGCTGTGATCAAAATCGAAACAAGGTACATATTTAGCATTAGGCTTATGAACAATCTAGATAAATGAGTACAAAATTAAGATGATTAATTAGTACATTTTTATGTGCTAGTGGGATATACTCTCCTATGGCTTGACAATTCGAGACATTATACAAATTTCTTCTGCTCGCAACTCAACAGATTGCGTATCAGTGGTTTTAGTGGAGGTAAGTCGTAACATATTGGCAAAATACTCTGAATCGCGTATACATTTGTAAAGAAATTCTTGATTTTTGCAGCCAACAGAAAACAGAAAGGCAGTTTCATACTTGCACGAAAGTTTCTACGATTCAACAGGCTATTATGTAGTATACGCGCCTATTGACATCTCTGCAATGGATCATATTATGGAAGGCAAAAACTCAGATAATGTTTCAATATTAGGATCAGGATTTGCAGTCCTCCCTGGGAAAAGTGATAAGGAAAGCATACTCACTATTGGATTTCAGATTATGGATGAAGAGCTAACGATGCCTGAGGACCTGCCACCACAATCAGTGTTAACAGCACACAGCCTCATGAAAGAAACTATTTCTCTTATTGAGCCTGCAATCATATCCTGAATATGAGATTTTTTCGCGAACGTCCCTAGTTTGAACATTGTTTACGATTTAGTGTTTAGGGGTTCAAGAAGTTCGATTTATTTATTTGGTGGGCTACCGACAAACAATTTTTTTTCACCATTGTTTCTCCCTTTCATGGGACATTCCAAATCTGTCCAATAAAAATCCAGATTCATCATGGAAAAAGTACAATATGTGCATTAGGGAATGCTCGACAAGACAACACAATAAACATCTCTTACGTTCCTCTTTTACTTGAACTCATTTAATTTTATCAGTACCAAAACTCCTTGAAGTGTAATCTTGGGCCACTTCATAAAGCATCCACAGTAAACAACTTGTTTAAACTAGCAAGGGCCAAATTGATAATTTGTCTGGTCATTTTTTGAGGGAGCTCAGCGTTCTTCCAGAATGTTATTTTTATGGTCTCTTCGTCGTTTATGAATGGGTCTCCTTGGTCTTCAACACATTTAGCCCTCGAACATTGTCTTGCACATGTTATCTTAACAGAGATGTGGATGATATTTCATCGTTTGGACTAATTTTATAACTTGGTTTTTGGAGGGTAATTGGCACAATTCTCCCTTAACGTTTACATGTTTTGTGTAATGCCATCCTAACCTTTCATTTTCCCACAAAACCCCCCTAAATTATAAATTAGCCAAATTATGCAGACTAATATTTTCACCTTTTTTCTCCATAAAACCTTGTAAAATGACACAGTTATCCTCCTATTTATATAAACAAAAAATGGAAAAAAGTTGGAAGAATTAATTGTAGTCATAGTATCTCTTAAGACGCCTATAAAACACAATGTTCTCGTAGAAAATTCATTTCTACATGGAATATATGAGTTCAACATATTGTTTGAAAAGAGATCATTGGTGAATTCACACGATTTGGATGGTGTGTTGAGCTCTGATACCAAATTGTTGAGTTTAAACACCAAAAGAAAATGATTTTATTAATAAATGAACTTACACAATTTAGATTCACACACCTAAGGACACTAATCAATATAATAATATTAAACACATCTAACACTCTTGGAAAATCACCTCTCTCTCTCTCTCCCTCCCTCCCTCCCTCCTAATCAATATAATAATATTAAAAACACATCTAACACTCTTGGAAAATCACCTCTCTCTCTCTCTCTCTCTCTCTCTCTCAAACATATTACAGTAGGCGAGAACATATTTACAGATGCATAGAGCAGTGAGCAGAAGTTTCTAGCATGGATGTGGTCTTTTAAATTATTGTTGCTTTCTAGGTTTTTCTCACATATCGACATTCTGGAGGAAAATTTCGAAATTTGATTTGCAAGAAATCATCACCAAATTTTAATCTTACCTCTTTAAGTTGGCGATGATCTTCAATTCTTCCTTTCATCACTAACTTTTCATTTTGACTATTTTCTTTTTTGTCACATCCAACTTTGCGTTGACGAATTTTGAAGTGCTCGATTCTTCATTCAATGCATTTGCTCCTTTAAATATATTTAGCTCTTTCATACTTTTTTGTTCGTCTATTTCTAAGTTAATATGCTTGATTTTTTTATTTTTGGTGTGTACTCAACTTCCTTATTTGTGATTGTAAACTTTGACGTACCTCAATCTCTTATTGATTCCTTCAATTTTCTGTTAGTATTTTCTGATCCACATCATTTTGCTTAGGAATCTGTGTTGCTTTTGTAATCTCTATTTTAACATTTGATACATGTAAATCTTTAGATCTCCCCGTCCTTCGTTGTGCTTTCGTGATCTCCTCTTGCAATTTGCCTTCCATTTCCTTTGAATCTAACAGCTCCACCACCTGCGGTATCGGCCAAGAATATTCTTTTTCAAACATTTCTTTTGACTCTGGTAGTTCCTTCCTCTACTCAATACCAAGAAGACTCTTCATTAACAACGATGTCATCTCCTACTTCGTCGATCCAATCATCTTCTCCTGAGTCATCAATCTAATCATCTTCATAATCCATTTGTTCAGGAAGGAGCAGTACTAGTGCCTATTCATCATTTATACTCGAATTGATTTTCTTTTCTCGAGCCTGTTCAATTACTGTTGTGGATGCCACAACATCCTATTTTTCTTCATTATTATATTTCTCTTTCTTGTTGAAGGTTGTTTTATTGCCTTCTGCTGGCTACTTTTTAATGGCCTCGTTTTTCACATACAAAGCATGAGCCATTAGTTTGTTGATATTCTTTGATCGGCTTGCCTCTTTTGTCGCGATTTTGTTGAACTCCCCTTGTCTGATAGCTTCTTTCAACTAGTGTATTAAATTTACCATCTTTTAGTTCTTTATTAATTTGTTAATGGTATCGACCACTTCCTTGTATAATTATATAGTACTACCTTTTTCTTTATTGAGACCCCTAAAATTTGCTTTGTCAAGGTTTCTTGGTTGGCCAACAAATTTTCGAGATTAACTAATGAAAGTTGCTCGGCCAACCTTGTATTGTGGCGATGAATCCTCTAAATTCGGGTTTCAGATCATGTATAATTATTCTTTTTATTCTAGTCCCCAAATTCTTATTTGAAGAATTTAATTCTGAAATTTCGTGACAAAAATATTCAACTTTATTAAAATATTGACTTGCCGTTTGTTCTCTTGAGTGATAGAGAGTAGCTCATTTTTCAGAAGCTACAACCTCAGATCATTTTTTCGAAAATAGTGCGGCTAGGGTGTCCCATACTTCTTTCGGTGTGTTCTTATCCCTCATATGCTACAACAATTCTTCCTTAATTTTGTCTTTATAACGAACATAGCCGTACCCACTTTTATTCTTTATTTCTTCATAACTCCGACCTCTTCTAGTGGCATCACGTCACTTCTACCAACTACTTCCCCTAGTCTTGCCCTTAGATATACAATTCCATGGAAGTTTGCCATGTGATGTAGTTTTGATTATTGAGATTCTTTACTCTGCCTACCGCTTGAAGATCGCTCATCGTGACTTGATTTATCTCTTCATAGTCAAGCAAGCTTTACAAAAGCCTCACAATCTCCTTTTGTGCACGAACACCCGTCACCGACCGCCTCGCTCTGATACCAAATTGTTGAGTTCTGATACTAATTTGTTGAGTTTAAATTCTAAAAGAAAATTATTTTATTAATAAAATAGACTTACACAATTTAGATTCACACACGTAAGGACACTAATCAATATAATGATATTAAACACAGTTAAAAGTTGAAGAGTGAATATAGTGTATTTACTTGGATAAATATTCAGTCGAGAATTACACTAATTTATACAAGTGTTGGCAGCAAGGAACATTCTGGAATACAGCTACCAGCAATGCAAAAAACTGAATGTACTATTAGCTAAACATAATTCTATTCCACTCCTGGAAATAAGGAAGTGTAATGTTGCACAATTACTTAGCTCCTATCCGTTACAAAAACTGATTTATTCTAACACCCTTCCTCAAGGTGGAGTGTGTTCCACCACTCCAAGCTTGTCCCTAAGCAGCTGGAATCTTGATTACGACACTGGCTTAGTCAACAGATCTGCTGTTTGGTCTGAAGAGGGAACATAATGAATTTTGAGCTGGTTGTCTAGTACCTTGTCTCTCACAAAATGAGCATCCAGTTCTATGTGCTTTGTGCGAGCATGGTATACAGGATTAGAGGCTAAAGCACTTGCACTCAGGCTATCACACCAAATGATAGGAGTAGACTGCTGTAGAATTCCCAACTCTTCAAGTAGGGATTGAATCGAGGTTATTTCTGCAGCACAGTGAGCTAAGGCTCTGTATTCGGCTTCTGTGCTGGACCTGGAGACTACATGTTGTTTTTTAGAACACCATGACACCAAGTTGTCTCCAATGTAAACACAATACCCAGCAGTGGATCGCCTATCATCCGGGCAAGAAGCCCAATCTGAATCAGTGAAAGCCGTGATGTTAAGACTATCATTTTTTTGTATAGTCAGTCCATAATTTAGAGTACCCTTCAGATATCGAAACACCCTCTTAAGTAGCTTCCAGTGAGAGTCAGTTGGTGCCTGAAGAAACTGGCTTAATCTGTTTACAGAATAAGTTAAATCTGGCCTGGTGTGGATAAGGTATTGAAGGCCCCCTATGGCGCTTCTGTAAGAAGTGGGATCTTTCATTGCTTGTCCCTCAGCCTTTGAAATCAATTTCCCTACAGCCATAGGGGTAAGACTAGGCTTCAAATCTTCATAATCAAATCTCTTTAACAGTTCAGTTGCATATCTGGTTTGCTTCAGATGTAGACCAGCTGCATTTCTCTCAACCTCAATTCCTAGAAATTGTCTAAGTTTCCCCATGTCCTTGAGTGCAAAGGTAACGTTCAACTTATCAATAAATTCCTGTAATTGCTGACCATTGTTCCCAGTTACAACAATATCATCCACGTATATCAAAGCAAACACTATATCAGTTTCTCTTATCAAGAAAAATAGGGAATTGTCTGCCTTTGATTGTCTGAAATTCCATTTCATCAACGTGTGTTTCAACTTGTCGTGCCAGGCTCGTGGGGCTTTTCTTAGACCATACAAAGCCTTTTTAAGTCTGCATACATAGCTAGGATGTTTCTTGTCGATGAAACCCTGTGGTTGATCCATGTAAACCACCTCATTCAGGCTACCATTCAGGAAGGCATTGTTTATATCAACCTGTCTGATCTGCCAGTTCTTAGTCACAGCCAATGTCAGGATAATCTTTAAAGTTGAGGCCTTAATAACAGGGTTGAAGGTCTCACTAAAATCAATACCAGCAGTTTGAAGGAAACCCTTAGCAACGAGCCTAGCCTTGTACCTTACTACTTTCCCATTCAGATCATGTTTCAACTTGAACACCCACTTATTTCCAATGATTTTCATTCCTCTTTCAGCCGGAACCAGTGTCCAAGTATCATTCTTAATGAGTGCATTATATTCTTCCTTCATAGCATGTTTCCAACAATCAATTGAGAGTGCTTCATCAACATTTTCTGGCTCAGTTACTGCCAAATCTTTAACTGCCAGACTCGTAAAGATCTTGGGCTTGAATATCCCTGCCTTGCTCCTAGTAATCATCTGATGTTCAATATTTCGACCCAAAACTCTATCTGGTAAATCTGTTCCTTCTTCCTCATTTTGAGTATTAACTCTAGTTTCCTGAACTTCTGAAGTTTCATTAACCTCCACTGGTTCATCATTTAACTCATCATGAAGTGAGATTTCCACATCTCCACCAGTCTCTCCATCAATGAGGTCTACTGCAGCAGTGCTTTCAGGATGAATTGAAGGAGCAACAGTTGCCATTTGAGGGATGGAATTCTGGCTGGGATCAATGAAAGGGAGAAAACTCACTATGATATCACTAGCTTGTATCTGAGTATTTTTGTTTAGAAAACCTGACTTAAAAGGAAAATCTTGTTCATTAAATATGACGTGTCTTGAGACATAGACTCTACCACTTGGGCTTAGACATTTATAACCTTTATGGGAATCACCGTGGCCAAGATAAACACATTTTTTAGAGTGAAAACTGAACTTGTTTTTCTAATAAGGTCTAAGGCATGGAAAACAAGCACAACCAAATATTCTAAATTGGTTGTAGTCAAATGTCTTGTTGAATAAGGTCTGAAATGGGGAGTTATGATGCAAGACAGGTGTAGGTAGCCTGTTGATCAGATAGGCAGCAGCCTTAAAGGCTTCCCACCAGTAAAAAAGAGGCATTTGGGCCTCAGCCAAGAGACATAGGCCTGTTTCAGTGATGTGTCTATGTTTACGCTCAGCTCTTCCATTTTGAGCAGCAGTATGAGGGCAGGAGTGCCTAAGTTCAATGCTACATTCAAGTGCTATGTTTTTGAAGTTTCTGAATTCCCCTCCCCAGTCAGATTGGAGGCATTTAATCTTCCTATCTAGCTTGTTTTCTATCTGTTTTTTGAAGTGAGTGAAGATGGTTAAGGCTTCAGATTTATGCTTCATTGGATAAATCCATGTAAACCTACTGTAATCATCAACAAAAATTATATAATATCTATGCCCTGTGGTAGAGTTTAGGGGGGCTGGCCCCCACACGTCAGTGTGGATGAGATCCAACGGTTTTGAGGCATGTGATGATGAAGAATTAAACGGAAGAGCATGTGATTTACCGAACTTGCAAGATTCACAAAAAGCAGAAATTTCACTAATTTTAACAAGTTTATTACAAGACTTTAGAGCTTGACTTAAAACAAGGTTTGAAGGATGTTCTAGTCTCCTATGCCAAAGATCAAGCTCAGACTCTGAAACGTTTTTAACTGGACACGACTGATCACTAGACTTGGCTGTGAAGCAGTGGTAATTATTTTGTTGATTTGACTCGAAAGGGGTGCTTTCTGGTTTGAGATTAGGCAGCTGCAACTTGTACAATCCATCTTTAAGCACTCCTTGTAGCAGGGTCCTCCTCGTTTGGATATCCTTTACAACACAATAGTTAGAATAGAACTCCATAAATACACAGTTATCATCACAGAGCTGGGAGACACTAATTAGATTTCTTTTGATTAAGGGAACATGCAGCAATTTGTTCAGATCTAGTGTCTTATTACTTTTAGTGCTGATTTTTCTATTTCCAATGTGTGCAATTTGAAGCATATCTCCATTACCAACAAGTAGCTTTTCCTTACCTTCGTATTTCTCAGCAATATTCATGTTACCTTTATCAGTTGTCACATGATTGCTTGCTCCAGAATCCACAAACCAAGCTGGACCGTCAAGACATGCAGGCATTGCTACATAGGCTGAAGGTGTTTGATTGGTGTTCTGTTGACCAGAGTTTGCCGGTTTATTCCCCATGTATCTCTCGTCATATCTGTTGTAACACCAGCTTGCCGAATGGTTGCTTAGGCCACAAATTTGGCATGCCCCCTGATTTCATTTTGTCTGTTGGTTATGACTCTGCCTCTTCCTCTAACTCTACCTCTGAAGCTTGGAGGTCTTCCACTACTACCTCCTCTGAAGCCTCTGGTATATCCTGAACCAGTTCTATGCGCCAGTTGTACACTTGATTGACTTACGCTGAGTGATGCAAAATTATTCCTGACCTGATTTAAGTGCTCAAGTCGACTTTCAAAGGTCATGAGTACAGAAGAAAGCTCATACCAGGTTATGGTCTCCCTGCTATTTATCTGTACTACAATCGGCGAGTATTCCTCATCAAGGCCTGATAGAACCTATGTAATCAGATCCCCTAGCTCGATTGTCTTACCAGCTATTTCCAAATTGTCTGCTAATTGTTTGATGGAGGTTAGATATTGGTCCATTGTCATGGACCATTTCCTGATTCTCTGCAATTCACTTATGAGGAACATCACTCGTGATTTGTTTAATATTCCAAAACTTTCTTCTACAGCTATCCAAAGTTTGTTCGAGCTTGCACAGCCCATTACCTTCATAGCGATCTCTGGTGTCATTGATGAATATAGCCAGCCCATGAGGAGTTGATCAGCTGAAGTCCATCTAACAAACTCAGGATTTTGAGTCATCTCAACTGCTTCTCCCTGACCAATGGTTGTTTGGGTGGCTAGAAACTCAGGTGGACACTCCTTTGTCCCCATCAGGTATCCATCGAGGTTGTGCCCTTTAATTATGGGCATTACCATGTTCTTCCAAAGGAGGAAGTTGTTTCTGTCTAGCTTCACTGCAGGTGTCTGTGTGATGTTCATTCCAAATGACAAGTTCTGGCTGGCTGCTAGCTGAGTGGTTGCTGCAGTGTTGAACTCAGATTGATTTCCAGATCCAGTGTTGGCCATTGTTTTCTCTGATACCAAGTTAAAAGTTGAAGAGTGAATATAGTGTATTTACTTGGATAAATATTCAGTCGAGAATTACACTAATTTATACAAGTGTTGGCAGCAAGGAACATTCTGGAATACAGCTACCAGCAATGCAAAAAACTGAATGTACTATTAGCTAAACAGAATTCTATTCCACTCCTGGAAATAAGGAAGTGTAATGTTGCACAATTACTTAGCTTCTATCCGTTACAAAAACTGATTTATTCTAACAAACACATCTAACACTCTTGGAAGCTCCCATCTCCCTGCACACTCTCTCTCTTATTCTTTACTCTCACACTCGCACACACATTACAGTAGGCAAGAACATATTTATTGATGCATGGGCGGTGAGCTGAAGTTTCTAGCATGTTGGTGAGCTTTTAAATTATTGTTGCATTCTAGGTTTTTCTCACATGTCGGCATTCTTGAGGAAAATTCTGGAATTTGATTAGCAAGAAATCATCACCAAATTTTCCGGAAAATTGTGGAATCTTACCTCTTTAAGTCGGTGATGATCTTCATGGTGTACACGGTGAATTTACAATTGATGTCACGTCAGCATCCGCTAATTAACTCAGAAGGAAAGGAGTTAAGAAGCACAGTTCTTGTGTTTTGAAAGCATGAAATTATTTTGTACCTCTTTTTTGTGTACAAAGTGGTGTAACTTGCATTGGTTTCTACTATTGTTGATTATTACTCTCGCATGTAGGAATTACGGCCTGATAGTGACAAAGAAATGCCGTATTCTACTCCAAAATCTTATCCAATACTGCTTAACATTACGCGAATATATACAAAAACAAAAAAACTTCGCAAAAATATTCTATGAACTTTCAATAAAGTGGGCTTATGTTCATTTAAATGGGTTTGGGTGTGCAACACAATGATGGGGTTGGTTATGCTACACAATGTACAGAATAAGATGATTTCATTTACACAATTTTCATGTCTCTCTAATTATCATCTCGTGTATTATTTCCAGTATTTTCTGCAGATGATCCTTCTTCTTCTTCAGCTTGGCTCTTGCCTACAGATAAATACTCTAGAGCAGTTACAATGTCGCCGATAAAAGGCCGTGTAGAAGCTTCTTCTTGGAGACACATAGCCGCAACTGCAAGAGCTTGACAGAGCGCCTTTTCTGGGTAGTTTCCCTCGAGCAATGGATCCGCCATCAAATGGAACTTTTTCTTGTCTTTGAACAAAGGTTGTGCCTGCCATTTAGGGTAGATAGAAACATTAACCTCAACTTTCTATTAGATTTTAGGCTTTCGGGCCCTCTAGAAAAGGGTCTAGATTTGAAACATAAAAACTTGTTCCAGTAATTTTTTAAATACTGATATCTTCGAGTAGTTATTCTGCTTAATGCATGGTTTGGTCATTGAGAGGTGTTGAGATTTGATAACGTACCCAAGTAATTAAGTTCTGCTCTTCACTAGGTCTTGAATTGTCAATGACTCTCCGACCTGTGATTAACTCCAAAAACACGACCCCAAAGCTGTACACGTCTGACTTTGTAGTCAACTTACCTGTGGATGCATACTCGGGTGCACAATAACCATAGGTTCCCATCACCCTGGTAGAAACATGTGTTTTGTCGCCAGTAGGACCTAACTTGGCGAGTCCAAAATCAGAAAGTCTTGGGTTGAAGCTCTTGTCTAAAAGTATGTTGGACGCTTTAAAATCTCTGTAAATCACTGGAGGATCAGCTGTCTCGTGCAAATATTCAAGTCCTTTTGCTGCTCCTGCTGCAACTTTTATTCTCGTGTTCCAATCAAGAGGCTTTTTGTCCGGACCTATATCTGTAAAGCAAAGTTCATCTAATCAGCGTTTTCACATGTAAAATGAACAGACAAGACTTTGTTGAGTCGAGATAGCATAGGGGAAGCTGTCAGACGTACTTAGGAGATGATCCTCGAGTGAACCATTGGCCATGTACTCGTAAACTAATATTCTCTGGTCACCATCAGAACAATATCCTACTAAATTAACAAGGTTAGGGTGGTGAAGAAGACTCAAAATCAGAACTTCCACGAGGAATTCATGATTTCCTTGGAAACCATTTCTGTCAAGTTTCTTGACAGCAACATCCTATTAAACGTCAACACGAGAGAAATAGAAAAGAAATGTTAAAATGGGGCGTAGAATAGTATGCAACTTTGTGTAAGTTTAGAAGACGACGAGAATGAAAGTAATAACTAGGAAGGATAGTCGATTTACTATATTTTTGCTTTTGATGTGACCTTTGTACACCCTCCCAAAACCACCTTCACCTATCAGATTCTTGGTGTTGAAGTCTTGAGTAGCAACTCTCAACTCATGAAACGTAAATATCTGAGCAGAAATGTTCCCCTTTCCAAGTTTTTCTATTTCTTCAGTTATATATCTTCTCCTGCTACTATCTGCATTTTATATAATCAATCAGTTCTGCACATCTTAAAGAGCGTTGAAGAAATACGAAGTAATTAGTTCGACTCACTAGCTATATTGTTACAAAAACCAAGTATTTCAGTCTATAATTTGGGTATTCAAATAAAACATAACTGTAAGTTTCAAAATTTGAGATGAAAAATGTCAAGCTGTTCATATCAAGCCAAAAACCCTTTTGTTTGTCTTATCCCATAGCGACAAACTCCTATATTATTACGGCATTTCTAAACAAGTTCTTAGATATCAAAATAGATGGTGACAATATCAATGAAGTTCACAGCCCGTGGGCAATCTACCTCCACACAGCATTGCTTCTCAGATTTTCGAGCCCATTGCGGAAAATTCCCCACTGCTGCTGATATGGAGTTAGAATTACTATTTATGATGAATGTGATAACTATAGATATGATGCCAGAGTAGACCGATTTATATCAATCTTCAATTCATATTAGCAAAAGTAATGTTTCTTTGCATTATACATTTTGCACTATTATTAGGATTCATTTTCTAACACAAACCATCATTAATTGTTGTTAACCATGACAGCATATTTGTGAGTGTTCTTTTTCTTTATGTACATACTCAAATACACATTCGTAAAATAGAAATAACAACTAAATTGGAATAAGTGAAGTCCGAGATCCAAAAAAGGGATTTAATGAAAAACTAAAAACTCGGTACATGTCTTTTTTCCTTGCACTATTGAAGGGATTAAGAACCAAGAAGAGGTTATAAATGCAATGAGAATGAATCATAAGAAAGATACGAATCATAGAACCGAAAAAGAAAGAGGGATTAAGGGAACGCGAATCTACAACAATGGAGATCAAAGTTGCATAATCGAGATAAAAATATATATATTCTAACCTGATTTGTAGGAGATATTAGCAAACGATGCTAATGATTTATTGTCCTTGTGATCTTGAATGCTCTTCTTTGAGACCTTTTTCTCAATTTTCTCTTGTGACATGCAACAGGAAAAACAGCTCATCATCCTTTTTTTTCCTTGTGCTTTCTCACCCTCAACCATTCTAGACAAAAGAACCATAAATTTTTCCAAAAATATGTTTGAATGTTTTCTTCTTTTCACCAAAATGATAGAATTATAATTTTTGTATTGCATCCCAGACTCTGAATCTCATGGCAAGGTAATGGAAATTTCACCTTAGCCATGAAGAGAAAGAGTCATTTTCTGTTCTGTCAAGAAACTCAGAAGAAATTTCCATGGTAATTTCTCTCACTTCAAACCAAGTGTTAGGATAGAATTGATGCTGTCAAATTTTCTAAATTTAGTACATGGTCAAGATCCTATTAACAAAGAATACGAAGCATGTCCATAAATAGTATTTTTCTGTCTATACTAATTAACATTGTGCATTAACTAATGCAAAGTTCGATAAGGTCAAAATAATTGTGGCGCCCCACTAAAATGAATCGTGTATAGGTTGCACGGAAATGGAAATGAGGAATGGGAATGGGAACGGGAAACATAACACAGCACGATAAGATAAGACATTTGATAACGCTATATCAAAAAAAATATATAATATGACATGAAACTCCATAAAAAAAATGTTGTATTAAAAAATATAATTCTTTTTTAAATTCAATAAATAATTTTAGAAAAGATATTTATAATAAATCTATGTGACAATGGGCCACTGTCACGTTGTTCTTCCAACTTTAAAGATTGATTTGTATTTACAAAGTTCAAAGACTTCTTCTACAATTTTCTCTAGAAAAGTTATAATTGGGTTAAAAATTGGCTAAGCCCTTGAACTTCATACACGGTTCTTAAATGGTCCCTAAACTTTCAGCCCCTGTTCGACAACCATACTTTTTGAAAAAAAGGGTTTTGGATTGTGATTTTTAACAGAATGTGTGGTTAAAAAGTTAGGAAAAATTTTGGATTTACGTACAGAATATTTTATTAGATAAATGTGTGGTTAAAAATGAGTATATAAAAAAAAGTTTTAAAAGTATGATTGTCAAATTAGGGCTAAATTGTCAAAATTTATTCGCCCAACTTTATAATTTTTATCTATTAGTAGCTAAAAATTGATTCCATGGGTCAAGCTAACGGAAATTTTGATTAGACTCACAAAATATTTATGTAGCATAAACGTTAATGTTAATTATCAAAGTCGTCAAATTATTCATAAACATGAAAAATAATTGTATATTCCGCTTCCCAATATATTTATTAAAAGTTTATTTAATTGATGGTTTTTATAATTTCCAAGTATTTTGACAAGAAGTTGGATAATTAACATCTATAGTTATGTAAATGTATGCATTTCATGCATCAAATCAGCCTCACTGTTCAGAGTAGACTCACGCAATCGAGTAAGTACTGTAACGTTGGATACCAAAATTTCAGTACTTTGAAGTTCAAGACGCATTTAGGAGCAATTCTTGTTCATGTACCAACCATGTTTGCTCTTTTTGTGTCTGATAAATGAGCTCTGCTGCAGTAACTTGACAAACCAAATAAGGAAATTGTGCAGAGATGAAGATTGGTGCATTGTTCATTGATAACTAAAGGCAGAAGAGAATTTCAAACGTCCCCTTTTCTTCCTTGAGAACTGTATGATACCCAACAATGGAAGGACCTTGTGAAGAAAATCTTATTATGGAAGTGAGGGAAGAGGAGATAATTTCAACAACGAGTGGAGTTTCATCTATCAGAGTCGCTTATTTTCTAAGGCCCTCTGTCACCTCCATTCATGGTCCAGTTTTTGATCCTCCAGTGGATTCTGTAAATCCCACCATGGTTGACAACTCTGTGCCTTTGAAGGCGAACTTTGTTGGGTGGAGATACCCAAAGAAAGACTGGATAAGATGGGTATGTCGTATGCAATCTTTGCACCATTCTACCTGGAAACAAGTTGGGATTCATGATGCTATAGTGAACTCAACCTTCAAGATTCACCGAACTGGTGATCTGATTTTAGGGGTTGCGGAGAAGTGGTGTTCCAAGACCAATACGTTTGTGTTTCCATGGGGAGAAGCTACAATAACGTTGGAAGACATGATGTTTCTTGGGGGTTTCTCTGTTTTGGGAGATTCAGTTTTAGTCCCCCCTGGAGATGGGGAAGAAATTATACGGAAACTGCATGAGGCTCGATCACATATTATCGTCGGTAAAGTGCAGAGAGCCAGCCAGTGTGCCTGGATGAGGAAATTCATGGACAGTGGAAGTGAAATCGAGCATGAGGCATTTCTTGCTTACTGGCTGTCAAGGTTTGTTTTCCCTTGTGGACACGACCTTGTACTCGGAACTGTTTTTCCCATCAGCGTCCATTTAGTTAGAGGAACTAAAATTGCACTTGCACCTGCAGTTCTTGCTAGTATTTACAAAAATTTGAGTTTGCTTCAAGAGGCTATAGTTGCTTCCAGAAAATCAGGGATTGGAGAAGGACAAAAGAAAGTTCTTAAGGTTCAGGTTGCAGCCCCACTCCAATTGGTTCAAGTTTGGATTTGGGAGAGATTCCCAACATTAAGTCCCAAGCCTAATTCAGTGAGATGTGGTGAGCCAAGATTGGCTCTCTGGCATGGCTTAAAGAAAATGGAAATGGAGAATGTTTTAGATGCACTAGATCATGCTGAAGAAAGTTTTATTTGGCGCCCTTATATGAGGGCTTTAAACAACTCCTTGCCTGACATGGTTTACAAGGAGAAAGATCATTGGGTATTGGTTGAATCCGGTTTGAATGATAAAGTTCAGGGGCTTGTGCGATGCTTGAGAACAAGCGAGCTCGTTAGCCTAGAAGCAGATTGCATAGAGAAGTATCTCCCACATCGTGTGGCCATGCAGTTTGGCATGGATCAAGATCTTCCAGGTCGTGTAGCTCGAGTTAACGGGAGTTCGGATGTTGCTTGGAGTAATTATTCTAGGACAGTTGTTGATTCCATATTGTATATACCAGCAAGACTTTTTGAGTCAGATGTCACAACTCGATACCTGAAATGGTGGGAGAAATTGAAGTTTGCTAGAAGTGGTACAACTAAGGCTGGTAAAGATGGCAAGAGTACATCCAGGGGTTCTAAACGAGAAGAATTGGAAGGCTTGTTGAAAATTAATTTAGAGGATGATAACCTTGCTCCTCCCGGTTTTCCTCCCAAGTCCAATACTGTGAAAGCTGGAGTTTCAGGCATTAAGGATAAAGATACGGTAGGTAAAAATTTTCAGGTTGAAAGCATTCAAAATATTTTTCCTCAAAAGGATCCTCAAAGGAAGATTACTTTATCTTCATCTGATTTTCAAGGACACGGTATTTCTGAGAGGTCAAAAAAGAAACTAATGGAAAGTTCATCAGGTACTAAATCAGATACGGATGCCCTTTTTCCTCCTCCATTGGGTTTTAGTCCCAAGCGTGCTAGGGTGGAAGCAGAAAATCTTGGTGTTGACGATAAAGAAACAGGAGTTGAAGTGCTTGAAGGTGAAAGCAGTGAAAATAGAAGTGAAGGACATGCCAAAAGTTGCAGTCTGACAATCCCTGAGCCAGCTGGAATGAGACTTGAGGAGAGGATCTGCACTATTGAGAAATTATGCGCTTGGTTAAAAGAGTCCCTGTCTTGATGACATAGTTACTTTGCAAGATACTTTCCCTTATATTCTGTTTTTGCACCTGTGGTCTTGCTATGTAAGTTTCCAGTCCTTAATTGTGATAAGGCTAATATGTTGTCTTTCGATTCTCAAACATTTTATGGGAAAGATGTTGCTTATTTTTCTCTTTTGAAGTAATTAAGATAACAAGAGTATACATGAAATCTAATTGACTGTTTTATGCTGCTTTTGCACAGTTGGTTTGGTGGTTGAATATGGAACTTCTCTGAAATATAGACCGATGAGATTGCTCTCTATGATTACTTCGATTTAAAGTTTGCATCCTGGACTGACATCAATATCATTGCTCGATAGTCTTCCTGTGTGGTGATCTGGATTATCGCAACTAGGATCTTTCTTTCTTCGATGATAACCAACTATTTCATTTTCCATTTTAAAGCCGGAATTAGGATTGTGAAAATCTATGAGATACATCATCAGAACCAATTATTATGTTTTCCGTTTGAAAGCTTGGATTATCGTAGACTATAGTTCATGACAATGCCTTGCCAGGACAAATGAGAAGTGTTCTTGTTTAGTTTCATCAAACCTTTAGCATTTGTTTCCTAGATCTTCTATAACTTACTATAATGTTACGTGTAGGTGATGTATGTAGGTATACTCCCGCCATTACACGCATGCTCGTTTTACTGGTGTATGCTGTAAACCTTCAGCATGCAGTTGATTTCATTCTATATAAAATCAGATAGATTGATAATTCTTGGAAGAATAAGTTGCAGTTAAAAGTAGTCAAGATATATAATTCAGAGTGAAATAGCAAGATCAGAGATGACGAAGGAAAATTGAGCAGGTTCTTTTAACTGGAAATTCACGATTATAGCGATGGTTATAACTCGAAAAAGTAATCAATTGATGCAAATGAACTGGAATGTGATTGATTTTCTGGGACATTCTGTGTTGGTTGATTCAATGCTAGTTATGTTCGATCTTGAAGTTCTGCGGCATGAAAATCAGTTAATGTCGTATATCTTTCCTCTTTTTTTCCCCCTCGAAGTGCCTATCATTGCCTTGAGCACACTGCCAATTGCATTTCAGTTCATGACACGACATGGCATGAACTGTCTTCTGAATATTTCCTTCATCACTCAAGCAAATTCAAGCCAGCATTCAGTTAACACACTGCAGATAGTTCTCACCATCTGCTTTATTGAAAATTAGATTAACAGCCACCACATGAAGTTTACGTTTCTGCATCCTGATTTACCTCAATCATCTCCCGTCTGAATCAAAGTCTGGAAGAACGTCACGATGTTTAGTTTTTGGAGATTCAACAAAATATTATTTTTGTCTTGTCTCAATTAAAATATCAAATGAACAAATCCGTGTCAAGCGATAAAATATCAAATGAACAAATCCGTGTCAAGCGATGAAGATACAAACTAACTTCTGAAACTGGAATTGCTTAATCCGCATTGTATTTCTGCAGGTGTCATACTAAAATATACATGCCAACGTAGAAATAATCTTCTATAAAAAAGTAGACACTGATATATATGCAACTGGATATCAAAACAGAGAACAAGTTGATGGAAAACTGCAGAAATCAATTTTAACTAATTAGTAAACCCAAAAATTATCAAAAACATTTTTAGAATGCAAATTTTGGAAAAAACTGAAGGCTATCTCATACTTGATTGTTAACTAGATTAAAATGGAAAATCCCCCAAGCATCCGCACAAATGAAGTTAAGTTGATCTCTTGCAAAGTTAAATGTCACCAAGACAGCAATTTCCTGCTTTTAACCAAGCACACAATTTTTCAATAGTGCAGATCCTCTCCTCAAGTCCCATTCCAGGTGCCTCAAGGGTTGTCTGGCAGCAGCTTTCGGCATGTTCTTCACTTCTATAATTTACTGCATCTAGCCAGGATTTTTTGAGCCCTGCACATTCGTTCTCAAGTTCAGGTTCTGCAGGTTCATCCTGAGGTTGACTATTTACATCACTCTCAACTACAAACATTTCAACTCCTGTTTCTTTATCCTTAAAACCTGAATCCCCTGCTTCCACCCTGGTGCGCTTGGGACTAAAATCTGGTGGAGGAGGAACAAGGGCAACCTTGACGGATTTCTTCCCTGATAAACTTTCCGTTACTTTATTTTTTGACCTCTCAGAAATATCATGTCCATGAAAATCATCCTTTGTTCCATGAATAGTGCAAGATGAAGTACTCTTCCTTTGAGCATCCTTTTGAGTCAACCTAATTCCATTGCTCTCTTCCTTAAAATTTTTACCTACTATGCTGTTATCCTTGATGCATGAAACCCCTGCTTTCATACTATTGGTCTTCGGAGGAAAACCGGGAGGAGGAGCAAGGACATCTTCCACTGATTTCATTTTGAAGAAGCCTTCCATTTCTTCTCTTTTAGAACCCTTGGACATAGTCGTTCCATCTGAACCAGCTTTAGTTGAACCATCCTTATCAGATTTCTTCCCTGATATTATTTCCATTACTTCTCTTTTTGATATCTCGGAAATACCATGTCCATGAAAATCATCCTTGGTTCCATCATTAGCACAAGATAAAGTATTCTTCCTTTGAGCACCCTTTTGAAGCAACCTCATTCCATCGCTCTCTTCCTTAAAAAATTTACCTACTATGTTATCCTTGGTGTCTGAAACCCCTGCTTTCATACTATTGGGCTTGGTTGGAAAATCGGGAGGAGGAGCAAGGACATCATCCACTGATTCCACTTTGAAGAAGCCTTCCATTTCTTCTCTTCTATAACCCTTGGGAGTATCGTTTACTTCTGAACCAGCTTTAGTTGTACCATCCTTATCAGATTTCTTCCCTGATATGATTACCATTACTTCTCTTTTTGACTTCTCAGAAATACCATGTTCATGAAAATCATCCATAGTTCCATCATTAGCAGAAGATAAACTAATCCTTTGAGCATCCTTTTGAGGCAACCTAATGCCATTGATCTCTTCCTTTTTACGTACTGTGTTGTTATCCTTAATGCCTGAAACTCCTGCTTTCATACTATTGGACTTGGGAGGTAAACCGGAAGGAGAAGCAAGGGCATCATCCACTGATTTCATTTTGTAGAAGCCTTTCATTTCTTCTATTTTAGGACCCCTGGATGTACTTTTTCCTTCTTTACGAGTCTCAGTCATACCACTTCTAGTAAACCTTAATTTCTTCCACCATTTCATGTATCGAGTTGTGACATCTGATTCAAAAAGTCGTGCTGGTATATACAATATGGCATCTCCAATTGTCCTAGTGTAATTACTCCAAGCAATATCAGTTCTCTCATTAACTCGTGCTACACAACCTGGAACATCTTGATCCATCCCAAATTGCATGGCCACACGATGTGGGAGATACTGCTCTATGCAACCTACTTCTAGGCCAACAAGCTCGCTCGTTCTCAAGCATCGAACAAGCCCCTCAAATTCATCGCCCAAACAGGAGTCAACCAATACCCAATATTCTTTTTCCTTGTAAGTCATGTGAGGCAAGGAGCTGTTTTCAGCCCTCATGTAAGGGCGCCAAGTAAAATCTTTTGCAGCACGATCTATAGCCAATAACACATTCATGGTTCCCACTTTCTTTAAGTCATGCCATCGAGCCAATCTTGGCTCACCAAGTTTAGTCGAATTAGGCTTGGGACGTAGTGCTAGAAATCTCTCCCAAACCCAAGCTTGAATCAGTTGTAATGGAGCCGTAAGCTTAACTTCAAAAACGTTCTTTCCTTTTCTAGTTTCTAATTTTCTTGAAGCAACAAGTGCCCCTTTTAGTGAACTCAAATTTTTGTAAATAGTAGCAAGAACTGCAGGTGCAAGTGCAAGTTTAATACCTCTAGCTAAACGGACTGCGATGGGGAGAACATTCCTTCCTATAGTATCCAAGTCGTATACTGGAAAGACAAACCTTGACAGCCAGTGAGCAAGAAATGCTTCATGCTCGATTTTGCTACCACAGTTCATGAATTTAACCATCCAGGTAGACTGGCTGGCTTTCTTTGACTTACCCCGGGTAATATCGGGGTACTTGTCAAAATGACCTAGTCAAAGGTCCCTAATTCCATTTTGACTTTTCCAATTGACAATAATCCCAAAATGACCCATTAAGCTATTTTTCTTTTTTTTTTAACATATTTACCGGTCAAAGGTCATTTTGGAATTACACATGAATAAGATGGTCATTTCCTCCTATATCCTCGGGTAATATCTGAGCGCACCTTGTGTAATTTATCTACAGTCATTTCCATCTCCAAGTCTCCGGTGGGACTCAAAACCGAGTCACCCAAAACCGAATAACATCCAAGAATCATCATATCTTCCAAGGTGATTGTAGCTTCTCCCCATGGAAACACAAACGTGTTAGTCTTCGAACACCACTTCTCCGCAACACCTAAAATCAGATCAGTATTTCGATGAATCTCGAACGTGGAGTTTATTATGGCATCATGAATCCCAGCTTGTCTCCAGGTAGAATGATGAAAAGATTGCATGCGATTTACCCAAGCTTTCCAGTCTTTCTGTGGGTGTCTCCACCCAACAAAGTTTGCCTTCAAATGCACCGAGCTTTCAATCATGGTGGGATTTACAGAATCCAATGGAGGATCAAAAACTGGACCATCGATAAATGTGACAGATGGCCTGAGAAAATGGGCTAATCTGATAGATGAATCTCCATTCAGTGGTGAAATCATCTCCTCCTCTCTCACTTCCATAGTAAGATTGTCTTCTGAAGGGCCTGCCATTATTGAAGATCAACGAGTTTATAGAGAGAAAAAAAATGGGCTCAAGCTTTTCTTGACTCAGCTTTCTGCCTTTCTCGTATAGGTGTTTTGTGTGAGAAGAAACTGATGGAAATGAACCGTCAGGGCCATGCGGTTTTCTTTACGGGGGTGGGCGGACCCCACTCCATGTGAGGCGCTGTCAAACTAGCACTTCCCTTGATTGAAATGAGACATTTCGTCATTTGTCATTAATTTGTAATGCAAAATGACTTTTATGCCCTTCTAGTTTAAAGTAAATATTTTCCTCCTTCACATTGAGCTTTGCGCCCATGCTTTTGAGTAAAATAAAACTATGTAACTTATTTCTAATTTCCATTGATGAAAAACTAATTTAAACAAGGGCCAAAATGCTTACTTTTTAACTTAGAATTGTGTAGTGTCCTCAATTGATATTTAATGAATTTTAAAAGATCATAAATTTATTACCACAATTGAGATTTTAATGAATTTTAACAGATCAAAAAATTCAATAAATTTCTATAGAGTTCATAAGAATCTCATTAAGAGTGTGTTTGATTCACATTATTTTGAAAGNTAGAGTTCATAAGAATCTCATTAAGAGTGTGTTTGATTCACATTATTTTGAAAGAATGTATTCGGAACAATAGAATTAAGGAAAATTTGTGGTTGAAAAAGAAGGAAAAGTTATTGATGTGATGGAAAATATTGTTTTATTAAAAAATGTGTGGTTGAAAATAAGTAGAAGAATGAGAATGAAAATTTTAATGTATACCAAACAGGGGCTAAATTAAAAGTTGCGAAATTTCATAAGATTGAAATTCATCCAAATATTTTGAAATCTTTTTATTAATGAAATCCTTATAAATCCACGATGCATTGAAGATGTCTAAATTTTAACATATTTCATTGAAATTCTCATTCGAGGACACCAGAATTTGTAAAGATTTTTAAAACCCATTAACGTCTTAGTTCAGGAAACGTGCTTAAATGTACAATAAAAAGAAAAGACACATAGAAGAATGCATCCACGCAATGAAATTCAATTCATCGCAGTTAATAAAACGGATGATAAGGTTTACTAACTAACATGATTAGTTTCGATAATAGGTCGTGGCGGCAATTCAGGTATATAATAATTTATATTTAATTTTTAAGGTGATTATGTGTAAATAATATATGATACTCAAAATTAGAAATATGAAATATTATATTTATTAAACATGAAATAATTTTTTTTTTTAATATTACTACAAAGGTGGGGTCTATTTTGTTTCTAAAGGCTATCCTTGTCCACAAATAATAAAATAAAAAAAGGTCTGAACGGTATTTTAGCCCCCCGGGGCACATCCAAGTTGGCAAAGGATGTGCACGGCTGGACTTGCAACCTCAGGGTGGGGAGTTCGATTCCTGGATGGAGCAGCTGAGCGTTGTAATACTCAATTTGGGTGGAGTAGCTTGGTGATGTAATATCCATGGAGGAAGGCTCCCTTGGGATAAGCTTTTCCTTTCGTTTTCTTGATTATGTGTATATCTATAAAGATTGAAGAAACGAAAGAAGAAATCAGAATCTTCGATTAAAATTTTCCGAAAGATAATCGTGGTGGCAGGGCGTTGAGCAAAATCACCAAAAAGAAAAATGTTACATTGGTTAAAGCAGCTACAGATCGCTTTTGGAGCCTCATTTCTATGGCTGGCTTGCTTCATTTACTTCACCCAGGTTCTCTTGATTTTCGCCCGATTAATATTATATGTTTTTGCATTAGTTTTCTCGATGGGGTTTTTCTATCTTGGAAATAATTTGAATGATGGAATTTTTTATGTGTTTTATGATTTATTGATCTATTGGTTTCTTGTTTTGGATTTCTGGGTTTGTTATATTCTTAGTTTTTAGTTTTCCTACGAACACGTTTAGAATTTCCTATTTAAAATTTCCACAAACATGTTTCATGTAATAATTGTGATCAGAAAATGACGAAACTATCATATTTGACAATTTTCCAGTTTGGGGACCTTAAGCTTCAAGATTATTAAGGCAACTCCACTTGAATTGCATTGATAAATGGTAGATTTGCTCCATTTATGCATAAGGCAGGAATAAGATTTACATTTTCTCTTGTTATCAGTGTTAAATAGCTATAAATAACGGAATAATAATGAGCAAATGTGTGGAGACACTGATTTCGCAGCTAGCAGTCTGTCACGTGATGTTTTCTGGAATTTTAAATATTATTCTTGTAGCATGATTTAGTGGCTGCTCATGACGGTGCTAGTTCCATGTGAAGATAATTGCCTCGCATTAGACTATAATGGGGGAAAAAGTGGTCTAAAATACATCATCTATTCATCTTATATGTATTTGTAACTCCATAGATTACATGAAGTGGAAATTACCTATGAGTTATTAAAAGAAGACATCTTTCAGATAGAATTGATTGTCTTTTGAAAAGAGGGAGACCATATTTGCTAATAGCTATTGATAAAGGATAGTTTTTTTGGTCACTATTTTTTTTTATTTATTTTTAAATATCTCTACGCCTTTCAATCAAGATATACATTTTTGTTAATAAAATGGTGAAATTTGGAGATAATAATATTCATTGAATGACCTTAAGAATGCAAAGTGGGAAGTATAGGATCCATGTAGCACATACCATATTAGAACGGAGTATGGCTTTGGTCAATCAGTCGAGTGGAGTCCAGAGACTTGTTAGAATAAAACAGCACGAGAAATTATTTTACTGTGGAAAATATAAGATGTGGCAATTTTTATTAAATCAAGGGGCTAAAATTTGGTTTACGTGAGTTTTATGAATCAACCTCAACGAAGGAAAAATGTGGGGCAAATAAAATGCTTTTCTAATTCTAAGGTGAACCAGTGTGCAATGGATACCATCAAAGCTTCCAGCTTGCAAGATATTCACTCAAACTTTTTTTCATTTTGATTTATAATAACCTACCCTAGACATAATGGATAGTTCACTATGACATTTGTAATTCAAGATACGTAGGCAATTTGTGTTTTTTGTATTGAAGCAAACTTCCAAGAAATTGGTTGGTATTTTACTCCTAAGCAGCTAACTTCTGTTGGCATTGTTTCAGGAGTATTGTATAATACGTTTATCCATTTCCTTATTCATGAAAATCTTTTTCGATTTTGCTAATAACCCTGCTTGATGAATGTGCAATCAAAGTAATGGCAATGCAATTTTTTCTATGGGTCATTTAGTAGATTTACAGTCTTTTTCTTGATTGTTCCTTTATTCATTGCAGTCTATTAAGCATAAAGTATTTTTATTTGTAAATTAGTTAGCTTCTCGATGCAGAAAATTAAAACCAGTGGTTGTGAATCATTTTATTAGGGTAAACTAAATTTCATTTCATAGTATAAGATGGATATCAGAAAAAACATTCAATGATAGTGTATCATTTTGAACATCTTTTGAAGATTTGATGACTATTGATGGTTACCTGTTGCATTCTTATATTCATTGAAGTTATATGTTGTGAATTCTAATCCTGCACTCTTATGTCTCCATGATTCTATGGGAGCAGGGTTTCAGGTCGTTCGTATGGACTGCTGTCTCATACCAGCTAAAAGACAATCTAAAGTTATCACCCTCAGCTTCTCAATTTGTGACCTCGATAGCATTTTTCCCATGGAGTATTAAACCATTATATGGGTAAGTATCTGGCTATGCTTCTCATGAAATACAAACTTGATTTAGATATACAGACTATCCAGCTGTGCTTCTTATGTAATACTAGTCTAGCTTGTTTCAAAGATACACCCATATGCTATCTAGCTGCGCTTCTCATGTAATACTAGAAGCCCTCAAAAAAGTCCCCCAGGCTGTGTCCAAAGAGTTCTTTCATTACTGCGTCCGGCCATAAATTAAGTTTGATTTGATTTTTTTAGGTTTAATATATTCTACTTCAACTGGTACGGGGGATCGGGCCAAATGACCAATATACATGGTTTGGCCTAAAAATAAGCTAAAATTTAAAGCTTTTATGCCATAAATTAATTGTTCTATTGAAAAATGTTCAATCACTCTTTAATTCGAACAATAATCTAATATGAAACCTTGTTTTCAGAAATAAAGATCACGTAACTGAGATGTCAATGGTTGACGCAAAAATAACAGAGATACACATTAACCTATAGAATTATGTCCAATCATGTCAATTACACATTTTTTAGTGGACAGTAAAGCCTCTGTTGGTCAGGACAATAGGCTATAAGCAGATTTTTTCCTATTGCGTGTTAAAGTGAGCTGGATAACTGTAACTGTCAGGGCTCTTTATTATGATAGTGGTTCGACTGTGAAACTTCTGTTCAAAAATTGGTCATTTTTGTCTTGAGTCATGCTGAAGTATGATGTGAATTCTGCAGAATTTTATCTGATTGCATACCAATTCGAGGAAGAAAAAGGATACCTTACTTAGTACTAGCTTCACTGCTTTCTCTTTTCCCATGGCTCATTTTAAGCCTGAGCATATCCTTACGGAGTTCGAGTGTGCCCCTCATGATTCTTCTAACAGTGCAAAATCTGGGCTCTGCAATGGCTGATGTTGTAATTGATGCCATGATAGCCGAGGCAGTGAAGTCTGAACGGTATGTTTCCACAATTAAATGCATGTTCTCTCTCTTTTTCAAGGCCGGTGATATTTTCCATTCACATTTTTCTGATTAAGGTGTTAAATGTTTAATCTTTATAAATTGTGAAACATGAGACATGGTAGGCAACTGGCCAAAGTTAGACAAGATTTTAATGTGCTATTTTCATAATTTGCCACACGCGTGATATGTTCAGCCATTGTCCCGAAAATTAGCCTTTAGACTAATTTTTCAGACTAGTTTGCTGCTTGTAATCAGCCAAGGGTTCAATTCTTGTCAATTGATCACTAACTGCAAGTTAAGTTCGTTTTGAAGTCAGACTAGAGTTGAACAACATGAATCTGTCAATGGGTAACTTTCGATACAGAAGTGGGTAATATGCACCTGTAGTTTGACTATTTCCCATATAGACGTAAAGGCGTGACAAGGGGACATAAAATGTTGTTAGACTTCTCAGTCAGTGATATTTGCAGCAAAGATCGAACTGTTGATTTGATGCAAAAGCTAACAGTTTCAGGCTAATGATCATGCTTGAACTTTGCACTCAACATAAATAAACTTGATTGTCTTTATAATCCTGGAAAGTTATGTGTGAAATCTTGAATTGTTTAATTGGCCTTATAATTTTGAACTTCCAATAAAATTCTCTGATCCCTATAATCAAGTACAATTTGCTGAGTCATACTGTGACAAATTGGCATATCTACAAAACACTGAGCTTTATCATCAACTGTAACTTTTGCATTATCTTAATTTGACACATTGTTCAGGCCCAAAGTTCACCAACCCAATTATAACAGGTTTATCTATGTTTGTATCTACTGTTGGTGTACTGAAGCCTATTTCCGTTTGCTCTCAAGATTCTTGTACTCCACGAAGCATGGAAACTGCTACAAGGGTAGCATGTCCGTTTCTTACACACTTGTCGTATCATGTCATGTCAAACAACCGACACTTCTCGGATACTCCAAGACATGTTTCCAATGCGAACTTCATGTCGATTTTTTTCATCTGCTAATATGTATTTTTCTTTCTCTAGCACTAGTAATATTTAGTTTAATTAAAAGTTATTTCAATGTACCAAATAGCTACTCATCTGATTTAAAAAATTTCACCAACAAAACCATAACTATAAAAATATTGATTTTATTAAAAAGGATACACACAAAAATAAAGACATAATATGTAAACGTATTTATTTAAAAAATTTAAATTGACTTATTCGTGCCTTACATTTGTAAAAATCATGTTGTCTGTGTGTCCATGTCTATGCTTCTTAGCTTGTTTTCAATGCTTTGTCCTCTGAATCTCTCTCTCTCTCTCTCTCTCTCTCTGTATTTTTTTGCTTTTTATCAGCTAATAAACATGAATTAATTTCTTACAAGTGTACATGAACAGGGCCTCATTTGCTGGCGATCTTCAGTCCATATCTTGGATGACAATGGCTTTGGGAGGAATCTGTGGGAGTTTGCTTGGAGGATATGCCCTAACTAATTTACAGATAAAAATTATATTTTTACTTTTTTCAGCTTTACCGACCATCCAGCTATTTTCGTGTTGTTTAGTGGAGGAGAGTTCTGTAATCAGTAAAGAGTTTCCCGAACGTTCTACTTCAAATGGAGGCTCCCACTCAATGAATGATAGTTCTTTTCACAAAGAAAATATTTCTGCTGGGAAGTCCAAAACCAGTGTTTCGAAGCGAAAGAAGAGCCAGAAAAATACCAAAAAAGGACGAGTTACCATGAGTAAATCCCAGGCATCTAAAAAAGATGGATCCTTGGCAACACGATGGTTTCATTCTCTGAAAATTGCCACGTTTACATTGTTTAGGGCTTTTCGGCAGCCAATCATTTTAAGGTAATTCTTTTTAATTGAGCTGGTTCATATTTAACTTCTCTATTTTATTGTTCTACATTTGAAATACATTAAATCAATGTGCAATTGTGCATGCATGAGAAAGAGTTAAATTGTTTATTTCTGTAATCACTATATGGATGTAAACAAATAAGACTCCATTAAAAGAGATGCACTGGATTTTTGAGGTAAACCTAAGACAAGTAGAGCTACCCTTTAGACCTTCACTGTGAATTAGTCAATATTTTTGTACTCTACAAAGAAAAGGTTACAAATCTAGTTATGAGGATAATTTAGTTAAAGCAACAGATGACGATGCTACTCCATGCAGTGAGTCGATAGCAATATGAGTTTAAAGCTGGTTGTTTTGAAGTGCTGAGATTGACTTGAGCATCATACCATTTTTTCAAATTTCACTCTTATTACATCCCCCCCTCCCCCCAAATGAGACTCGAACCAAGTCAATTTCCCATATTAAATTGTTATGTTATCATTCTCCCTTCTATTCTTGTGCATTGATTTATCAAACTAATGATTGTTTCTGGTTCTCACACTCTCTTGGGAAGTCTAGACCAATGGCTTGGTTTTTCCTAGCACATGTGACTTTTCCAAATCTATCAACGGTTATGTTTTATTACCAGACAGAAATTTTGAAACTGGAAGCATCCTTCTTGGGCACAACACGGGTTATTGGGTGGTTAAGCCTCATGGTTGGAACTTTTATTTATAACCGGTTCTTGCAGAAGATGAAATTGAGAAGGATTCTCTTGTAAGTTTGTCTTATACGCATTTTTTTAATTTGTTTTCTTAAAAATTGAACGAAAATAAGATCATGGGATATGTTTTTCTAAATTATATATGCTTTTGATATCTATGAATATTTTGCAGGTGCACTCATATTGGGTTGTCTATTTTGATTCTTCTGGACGGAGTTTTGGTGTCTAGATCAAATATTTCATTAGGCATATCAGACAAGGTCATGGTGCTTTTTGGTTCAGCTCTTGCAGACGGCGTCAATCAATTTAAGTACGTTGTTCAAATTTGGTATCAGAAAGTTGTTTTTGTTGCGGTAGATTGTTAAACCCCAAATCAAGAATTCATGCATTACTTTTATCTATTTGTTTGTTTTGGCTCACATTTCATTTACTATTAGCTATCCATGCATTATACATAAAACTCGCTTGGCTATGTAACAGGATTTATGTATGTATAAATAACCAGACCATGAATCTTGAAGTCGTGAGCTTATCAAACTCACCCAATTCTCTATTTCATCACAGGTTCATGCCTTTCCTCATCTTATCAGGACAGCTTTGCCCATCTGGGATTGAAGGAACTTTATTTGCACTCTTTATGTCTATAAACAACTTAGGATCAACCATCGGATCGTTTGTAGGTGCGGCACTGGCTTCAAGTCTGAATATCTCTTCGGGTTCTTTCGACAACCTTCTCTTAGGAATCATTATTCAGTTTTTCTCCGTCTTCATCCCAGTCTGTTTCCTATTTCTGATACCAAAGGAAGCTACAGGAATATCAGCATAGTTTAGAATATATAGAGCATTCAATGGGGTGAACCAAGATTTCTCCTTCCTTTAACTTACTGGTTTTTATTTTTATTTGTTTTTTTTTTTTAAACAGCATAATTTAGATACAGGAATCAAACTCAAATAGCTATACATGTTGTGTAGTTTCTTTACATACTAACAGAGAGCATTTCTCTGGTGATTTTGGTACTTGGAAAAACAGAAATTCAGAAATTATCTATTTGTTGTTGCTCTATCTGTATGGTATCTATTTTTTTGAGTATACTGTTTCTTGTTCTATTTTTAGAACGCAAATTCGAGAATTACATGCTCTTTGTTACTATTTATTTATCCAACATCATATCCCGACCATTTATCCGTGTGAAATATGAAGGAAATAACGAGGAAAGCACTGGAAATTCATCGTAAAAAATGTGTTGAATGTGAATGTTTCGTACAAGCTTGAGTTTTTGAAACTTGGTCGCGTTGTTCGTAGTAGTTGGGGTATTAAAATATCGAAACTGATGAATGGGAAAATGGGAAAAATGAAAATAATAACGAAACATTGCTTTATTCTGAAAATTTTGTTAATTAATGATCTTTTAATTTGGAAAAAGAAAAAAGAAGGGTAGAAAAAGGTTGAGTGGGATGAGAAGCTTGCTCTCTTAATATCAGAGCCAGGTTTCGATCCTGGGACCTGTGGGTTATGGGCCCACCACGCTTCCGCTGCGCCACTCTGATTTGTTGTTAATGTGTTTCCTCATTTATGAATAGAATTATACGAAAAGCGATTTTAAGATAATATTTTCTTTTTCCCTTCATTAATCAATTAATTAGTCACATTTTATCCATTAGATACGATTCTATTAGATTGAATAAGTGCATTTAATACTATATCGACGTGTACGTTTAATACTAGATATAACTGAAGAAAGGCTATAACATTACATATTTGTTTAATAATATTTTTATTAATGTTTAACTAACATATCATTCTATACTGTATCGACGTATATGTTTAATACTAGATATAACTGAAGAAAGGCATTAGCATTACATATTTGTTTAATAATATTTTTATTAATGTTTAACTAACATATCATTCTAAATATCATCAATCTTGTTACATCAATAAGTGCATTTAATACTATATCAACGTATACGTTTAATACTAGACATAACTGAAGAAAGGCATTAGCATTACATATTTGTTTACTCATATTTTTATTATTGTTCAACTAACATATCATTCTAAATATCATCAATCTTGTTACATGTATATCCTGATTTATATATTGATTTATCGAATTTACATATGACCCAATCTAACGTCATATTTTACGTCTCGCATATTTAATCTAATTATTACAATTTTGTCACATCACACATCTCACAACGAAGTTCTCACACTACATGTACAAATAACTTGACTAAAATATGATATAGACTTTTGTAAATCACACGAATCAATGTTCAATGACAGAGTGGAGATTTTTGTCTAGAATCATATGAATCAAACTAAAACAAATCGAACTAATTACTTCAATTTAATTCTATTTAAATTAAATTAATTTTGATTTGTAGAATCAAGAATCGAATGATTTTGGTACAATCAATAAAGTTATATGATTCAAACTATCAATAAAAATTTAGAATAATCAACACGTTATCACACATAAAAGAGCATAAAATTTACATTTTCTTCTTAAAAAAATCGAATTGAACCAAAATAATTGTAATATTTAATTCGTTCTATTTCTTATTAAAATCGAACCGAACTAGATCATGTTCGCCTTTAATTAAAATTAATTGTGTTCTTGAAATCCCATTGATAAAAAATACAAAAAGTTTGATTATTTATTTATTAATCACATTAGACAATTTTATATAGCATCTCCTCCAACTTCTCCTAATCCTTATCAAAATGGGAAACAAGAAGAAAAGAAACGCCAGATCTTCCTCCTATGAATTAATTCTCTCTCCCTGTACACTCAAACCGTCCACCCCACCCACCACGCAACCTCCCTTTTCCTTTCAAAGTTTGATCAGCCATGGAAATTCTCTGCAAGACCCATCAAATATTATTGTTAATACTCACAATTCTCACAAGTTCTTACCTCCAGACGCCAAAAGTACAAGCCTTTAAAGCACCGTTTCATCTCGGGGACGTATTGCCATGGCTTCCTGGAAAAGTGTCATGGCCAATTATGGGCACTCTTAATAATGCTGCGGACCTTTTACCCTCCTTTGTGGGGGCTGCCTTTGCTGCCAATAACTCCCTGAACTGGAAAGGATCTTGCTTTTATAATAACAGTGCCTGGATGGAGTTTCATAATAAGAGTAGTACTGAATTTGGTGGTGGCACTCTTCATATAAAGGTAATTGGAGGTAACTAATTCCTTTTTTTCATTTTTTTCCCCTTTTACTCAAGGTAGCGTTTTAGTTGGGGATTTATTTGGACTTGGGTAGTAAATATTGTGACCTAAAATTTAAAATTGAGGTGTTCAGTTTTTTTTGTTTTTTTTGTGACTGTTTAAAATTGATTGATAAAGTTGGGAAACATTGGATGCAGTTTGCCTTTTTTTTTTGCTTAGATTGAATGAATTTTCTGAAGGGAATGTTCATGTCTGTATAATTTTACAAAATATCTTTAAATTTGGATGTTAAAATTGTTTATACTCTTCGACAATACTCTGTATTTTGGCTCTTCATTTTGCTTTTTATTTTTGAAGAAATATTTATTGATTTCTCCTATTTTTAACTTTAACATTATCTTTTTATATGTCAGTGGTCAATCAATTTAAATATGAAATTTATTGATTTCATGGATACCTTTTTCTTTCTCTATTCACTTTCATTAGATTATGTTGATGAGTTTTGAATACACTGGACTTCATTGCTTCAGATTTTATTTATCAATTTTGTTAGGATATATTTTGTCAGGAACCTTTTAAATATGGGTTGAATTGAAAACTTGGCATATGTAAAGATACTTGTATTGAAGATACCGGCTGTGTGCAACCTCAATTTTGTTATGAACTATGTTGTATGGAACCTTTTAAATACGGGTTGAATTGAAAAGTTGGCATATGTAAAGATACTTGTATCCATGAACTTTGTATTGAAGATACCGGCTGCGTACAACCTTCCTAGTCTGTGTTCCTTGGACTAATGTGTTCAAGATTTTGCAATAAGTTTTCTATTACCTTCTTCTCCCTAGTTTTGGTCAGGAAAGGATAGCGAGACAAAAATAAATAAATAAAAATCATGATTTTTCTTTTTATCTTTTGATTATATTCGCGTTTTCCACTAACGAACGTAGAAGTATGGTAGTGGTCTGATGGTTTCCATTTGGGATATGGCTGTTGCAATTGAGCACTGTCTATATTCTTTGTTAATGTTCCTCTCTCTCTCTCTCTCTCATTCATTATATTGCTATATACAGGTTAGTAAAGCTCATAGTTGGACATGTATGGATCTTTATATCTTTGCGACTCCATATCGCGTTACATGGGATTATTATTTCATATCTCGCGAACATACCCTTGAGTTCAAAGAGTGGGAATCGAAAGCAGAGTTTGAATATGTAAGCAAATTTCGCTTCATTTAGAATTGTGCTTGCATTTATGGAATCGTTGACATTTTTTTTTTTTTTTAATTATATAATAGCTCTCTATTACAAATACTGCTTGTTAGGTCAAAAATAGTGGGGTTTCGATTTTTCTCCTACAAGCAGGGATGTTAGGAACTCTTCAGGCTCTGTGGGAGGTATTCCCTTTATTCACAAATACTGGATGGGGTGAGAACACTAACATTGCATTTCTTAAAAAGCACATGGGGGCTGTTTTTGAAGAACGTCCTCAGCCATGGGTAACAAACATCAGTGTTGAGGATATCCATTCTGGAGATTTCCTGGCACTGTCAAAAATTCGAGGCCGTTGGGGAGGTTTTGAGACACTAGAAAAGTGGGTAACTGGAGCTTATGCTGGTCATACTGCTGTTTGCTTAAGGGACTCTGAAGGAAAGCTATGGGTTGGAGAATCAGGGCATGAGAATGAGAAGGTAATTTTTAACTCTGCCCAAATTAGCTTGTGTTAATTCCTTTTGATTGTAAATTTCAGCTCGAATTTATTGGTTTTGTTCGCATTTTGTGAGCCTGTGTTAATTACTCATTCAGTTACTGGTAGAAGTCTCCAAAGCTAACTATTTGTAGAATGCTTAAAAGTCCGTGTATTTGGACTTTAGTGATTCAATTTTCTCTTCTACTGTCCTAGTGGAGCATATCTTTATGATTTTTGAATTTACATCATAGGGAGAAGATGTTATTGCAATCTTACCATGGGATGAATGGTGGGAATCTGAGCTGACAAAAGACGATGCCAATCCACAAATTGCATTGCTTCCTTTACATCCAGAACTCCGGGCCAAGTTCAATGAAAGTGCTGCCTGGGAATATGCATTAAGCATGTCAGGAAATCCTTATGGATATCATAACTTGATATTTAGCTGGATAGACACAATCAATGGAAATTACCCAACACCCTTGGATGCTCATCTGGTATTGCAATCTTGTCGTAGATAGATTTTGTTGAAGCCGATACCTACTTATCTCTTCTATTCTATTCTATTGGAATTTCAATATTGTTATGTTATTATTAAGCATATGTTGTGGTATTTGCTTGTCCACATAATTATTTTCTTTGTGCTATGGTTTTCTCTGAAGCTGAGGCGTACCTTTGAGGTAGACGAATGCAATATCATTCTGTGAACAACTCTGGTTCACTCAAATAATATTTTGCATTATTCATATTCTTGGGACAAATCCTAACTAGTATGTGAAAAGGCCACATAAGTTTCGAGTTTGAGTTCAGATGGGAAGTTGATCTCATTGGATTGTATGCATGAATTAACCTTGATGTATGATCTGGATGTGTACTTCTCATGAATAGATTTGAGTTGTCTGTCAACCACTTTCTAGGGATCCCAAGTAAATTATTAGACAACTAAAATTTGTCTGTG